GTGTTGTTCAAATATATTTAAGAAAGTGCTGATTCTAAATTTCATATTTTTTTTAAAGCTTTGATCTGTAACTTCTTGCTTTTCCCAACATTTTTCAGAGTTCATTGTGGAGTTCTTTTCGATGCTGCACAAAATTGTAATTCCGAGTCGCTGCTCAGTGAGTTCTACGACGTCATATATGGTATCTACCAAATTTAGATATACATGTATATATATATATATATGTGTGTGTGTGTGTCTTTTGGTAAAAATGTTATGACATGATACTTTTCCCTCGTATGCATACAAAGAGTTGTTCTCTAGTATTCAGATCTTGTACAGTCAACACAAGAATAAATAACTTATAACTTAGTGATACGAACCACTTCAGTTTTCCCATTCACGGATGTTACAAAAACTCGATTTTTGCAGAATATGCGTATGAATTCATTTTGGAAAGCTTTGTTCAAAAATGTATATATTATTGGATTGATGCAGCAATTAGCATATCCAATCAATTTTAAAATTGCACTCTTGATCCTAAAAGACTCGTTTTCATTAACGACAAATTCTCTGTAAAGATGAAAGGTAAAGAATGGAAGCCACAAAACGGTAAACGACAAGAAAAGCATGACAAGCATCTTGATCACCCTCTTCTTCTGTTTGATATTGCGTTCATGATGACGTGGATTTTCCAAGACATCGCCGAGAGGGTGGTGGATCCAAAGACGATGTCCGATCCGCCCGTAGCTGAAAGCCATCACAAGAACCGGAAGAAGATAAAAACACGTGTATATCATAGACGTGTAAATTCGACTGCTGTATTGATTTGGGAAAAACTCTACACAGATGTATTTGAAACCATCCATTAAAAGCACTCCATTTGTATTCTTTACGTTTACTCGTTTGTCTAGTTTTTGAAATATAAGATTTGGAGATGAAACACACAACGAAATGCACCAAACAGCAATTACAATAAGTCTTCCTGAACTTCGGTTATGGATCACGTCTGAAAGCAGATCCCTTTAGGGGGGGACCCAAGACGATTCACAAATTACTTGTTCTTACTTGATTACTCAGGATAAAGCTATGCCATTCTAGGATGTTTTGCCCCTAGTATATTGGTTTTATTTTTGAAAAAAAACTGCAAATGTAGCAGGTTAGCAAAAATACAGATAGTGGGCAAACTATCTTTAGCCCTGTCAGCTTAGCCAAAAATATTATTAATGAATGCTGTTATAAATTTCCAATGTGCTGGTATCTATAATTTCTGACTTAAAGGATTCCAGAATCAAATGTAATACCTGTCAATTGCAATAAAAAGCAAAGTAAGAATGCTGGCTACGACCGTCACACCCTCAATATACGCCGTAAATTTGCAAAGAAAAAGACCAAAATCACCACTCGACACCCAGTCATTGGCTACCACATAATACAGTTGAAACGGCATGTTGAAGGCCGCAATAAGTAAATCACTGCTTGCTAGCGAAACGATGTATAAATCTGTCAAATTCCGGGCTTTCTTCACCACACCAATAAATCCAAGAACCAACGAATTGCCAAACACTGCCAAAACTATTATCAGTAGATAGAGCGCCATGAATACTTCCACTGTGGATTTTGATAATGGGGCGGGTAAAATGTTTTTGCGGTCTATGGTTATACTGTACAGAGGAGAGTTGCAAATACTCTGCAGACGTATAATAAAGGAATTGTTAGAATTGTTGGTGCTTTGACCAGTATGTTCACATAATCGTGCAAAAATTGAAAAATCAAAGGACTGAAGAATACTGTCGTTTTCTGTCATGTTCACCGTAACATTCATCTTTATTTGTCCTTTCGTGGCAGACTAAATGAATGTCAACAACGTTGATGAAGTTCGTTGAGCGATGGTTTCATTTTTATCATTTTCAAATGGGCGTAGAAATTGCGTCATTTCAATCAAAAAAATTTTGACTGCTCGACTAATATAGCAAGGACATTCTTAATTACAGAAATGTAAACATGTCACTCTGGTATTACTTGTAATTTATCTTCAAAATGAATATTCCGGGGATTTGAAAAAAGATCGATGCTATTGGTATTGAAGTTATACATCTGTCTTTCATATAAATATCCTATTTATCATGAAATATAACATCTTTTGATATTTCAAAGACATGCCAGTTAAGATATGGTTGGTTGAGACAAGTTAATTTTTGCATAAGCTGTATTATTTTTTTAAATTTAAAATTGGAAAAGGGAAACAAAGCAGTTGCCCAGTTCGACAGGAAATGGTTTCCATTGATAAATTTAAGGATGGACGTACCAGTAAGAACTTAGAGGCTTGTTAGTCCGATTTTTGTTTTTTATCATTATCTGTTAATCTTTGTCCATTCTAATGTTTTTTTATATCAACACGTTTTTGATGAGCCAATAGTTGAAGATTTCAAGTTTAAAACAAAATTGTTTAATTTTCAAAAAAAGTTTACAGGATATACAGTATAAATATATGGAGGTTTCCCCAATCAAAAACAAATTTAATACTTAAATTTTAATTTTATGAAGTTCTTAGACTTTCATTTTTTAACTCAGTGGTTTTTACCACTCAAAAAAAGTGTTACTTGTTGTTTTTAAAATAAGATATTAGTTTAAAAAAAACTAGTAATTATTATTATTTAGTCAGAATAGCAAGTAAATGACTATCATGGTTAGTAATTGTAAACATAATTAGTAATAAGGATGAATTCATTTACTTATAAAATGATTTACTAATATCAATACGTAATAGGAATTATATTACTTAGAAAATGAACTACTCATTTTTAAAAAAATTTTTATTACTTAATTTAGAGATAATATGCTTTCAAAATACTAGATTTTATGAATTATCACTAAGTAAATGTAATTTGAAATTAATTAAAATCTAGAATATTATTACTTAAAAAAAATACTAAGAAATGAAAAATTATTATATTTACTAAAATCACATTATTTACTAGAAAAAAAGCAATTAACCCTCTGATAATTAAGGAGATACATGTAACTATGAAAGTTTAAAATGTAAGACTAATCACAGTTTTTTTGATCACAGTTTCCTAATTGAGCTTTCTGAGTAATCAATTAGATGAGATCTACATGGTATGGTAACAATACTTTCTTTTTTTTTGCCAAATTTTTTTGTAATTGTTTTATTATATTTAACAATAAAACATTTAAATTAGTATTAAAAGCCTTATAAATTAAATAAGTTGTATCTTTTTAAGGACCATTTTAAAAATGGTTTAAAGTTGCAAATACTTAATACAACAATTTAATTAGTATGATTTTTTTTTTCATATGAAGGAATATTTAGAAGAAAGATAATCCTTCCCCAACAATTAAAATGGAAGCCAAAATTATATATTAAATAATTTTTTGTATTACAACTGCTCTGAATTCTCCATTCAGTAAATAAATTATTGTTTTTAATAAATCAATTAAATACAATTTAAACAAGATGTGTTTGTGAAACACTGACCCCCCCCCCCCCTTATGGCAAATAGCAAAGGTTAAACTTTTCTTTTATGCAAATTCAATATATTGGTATTTTTCCATATCTCAAAAGGGAAATCAAAAGGGAAAGTTTTTGGGATTATGGGGCCCGCCACAAAAAAAAATCAAATAGAAAGAAGCCCCCAACCCCCCAAAAAAAAAAGTTCCAATTTTGAAATGAGATTAATAAGGCAATTCACAAAGGGGGATTTGGGGACCCAAAAAAACTTGTACAAGAATGAAATATGTAAAGTTTGAATGCACTAACCCTAACCTTTTTAAAGTTAAAATCAAGGTTTGCTTTTTAAAAGTGGGTCAAACTCCAAGGTTAATGTCAAAAGGGGCAAAAAATTCTTGGTATCCAATGTGGCTTTAAGGAATTACAAATATGTAAGTGTGAAAGCCCTATCCCTTATCGTTCAAAAGTAATGGCCAAGGTTAAATTTTTTATAAATGAAACTCCCAAAATCAAGGTCAAATGGTCATGGTTGTTGGGGTCCAATGAAAAGGGCTTTCAACAAAGAAAATATATGTGACGTATTAATGTCCTGGTATTTACTGTTAAAAAGATATGGCTAAAAATAAAGTTTGGAATTTGTAAAAGTGGGTCAAACTCCAAGGTCAAGGTCAAAAGGTCAAATTTGGTGAACCAAAGAAAGGTCTTGTCAAAAGGAATAAAATAAAAAATAAAGTCATAGCTCCGGTAAATCAAAAATTATGGGAAGGGTTAAAATTTTCGGACAAACAAAAAAAGGAAAACAGACAGACGGACACTACAAAAACTAAACCCCAAATTTGTTTACGGGGGCAAAAAAATAGTTATATAGTAAATAGTGGTAAAATGTAAGTAAAGACCAATAAAATTACTTATATACACAAATTTAAGTAAATATAAATTACTAAGTAAAACTTTTTAGTGTGTAAGAAAACAATTCTTTAAAATACAAAAATCAAGTAAAACATTTGAATTTAGTAATTTACTAGGCCATATACAGTATAAATATATGAGAGTGTTTTTCTTCTTAATGCAAAAACAAATTTTTTTAATACTGAAAAGTAAATTTTAATATTTATGAGTGACTTCGTATCAAATAAAAATGACGTAATTTTTTTCTATTGTCTTGACGTCATGAACTTTCATTTTTTTTAACTCAGTGGTTTTATACTGTTTTTAGAAGAATTCTAATCCATGAAAGAATTTGTACGTGTCTCAAAAGTTTTTATTTCATCAAAAATCAAGAAATGCAAAAAAAGACCTGAAAGGTCTCTACTTATGTTGATGATCGAAATAGGACGTAAGGACTTGGTCGGTTAATTAGTTTTGTTACGTAAATTTGAATCATTGTCACCTAAGGATACTATGGCAGGGCAATTTTGATCACAGTAGCTACATGAAGTTTTTAACTTTTTTTAAACTGAAGCATGAATATACAGCATAGAAGAAAGTATAAATCAATTCACGTGTTCTTAAGAAATTAATGTATTCAATAAATAAATGAATAGTTTTTCAATAAAAAGATGATATTAGTAAAAAATCAACATTGCTTCGTTGTACATATAAATTTTTAAGGTAAGACAAAGTTTACTGTCTGTCATAATTTCCACTCGTTGAATATTTATTCGAGGAAATTCGGCTGTTCACTCTTGATCGTGTTCCTGTCTGAGTAAAGCTTTGTCGATATATCAGGCTTTTAATTTTTGTTTTAAATTTTGGGTGAATGATGGCATACACAATGGGGTTAAAAACGGTGGATGTTTTAGCTACAAGTCCAGCTACAGATGACAGGTAGGGAGTTATCAAGCTCTGGTCTCCAAACAGTCCTATCATGGCAGTCACAGTGTATGGTAACCAAGATACAACGAAAAGACACACTAAACCCATGATAATTAATGCTGTACGAATCTCCGCTCTCACTCGGTAACGTTGCATTCGAATATTAAGTGAAGCATTTTCAGAGTTGCTTGACATAGAAAGATTTCGACGACGAACTATCATGGCTGTCACAATTTTAAAATAAGCCAGAATTATGACGATAACTGGGATGATAAATTCGCATGTTGCTATGGCCACTATGAAACTAATTGTACTCTTGTCCCTTGTGAGATAATCAAAAGTGCATGTTGTCCGAACACCCTCGAGCTGATATCGATTCCATCCTAGGACAGGACTAATAGCCCAAATAAATGCATACGTCCAGATCACTAACGTGGCTTTGTATGTTTTCCATTTTGGTGCTGGATCTGCCGAGTTGACTCTCATTACTATGGCACGGTATCGGTCTACTGCTATTACAGTCAGTGAATTAATGGTCACCAAGCCACAAAGACCTGTTAGTGTTGCATACACATCGCAAACTGCAAATTAAAAATAAATAATAATGATGAATCTTGAAAATATGATACGAAGTACTTTTGCAGTACAAATATATTTTTGCGTATGTACGCATTTTAGTGCCCAATTTGGCCTTAATTCGACATTAGATATTATTAACGATATTTTATCAAGTACAAGTAGTTATTTTCATTCGAATGTCTATTCGATATACCGGTATTCTAGTGAACTCGAAATAAAAGAGACCAGAGACGACATATGTTTCATATTGGGACAATCTACTGATTATAGATGTTAACTCACTAAACAGCACACTAAACAAGTTAATGCTGTTAATCACACATGCCATATAAGCAAGTTAATGCTGTTAATCACTTACGACTAAACATGCATTTCATATAAGCAAGTTAATGCTTTTCCCTCCTTGACTTTCAGCATGCTATTCGAGATATGTTAATCGTAAAAACTAACAAGTGGAAAAAAATTAATTTATTAAGAAATGAGGATTTGTATATTAACACTTTCGTAAAAACCTGTTAACCTCTAGTATACATCAATTGATTATTTTTTTAAATCGAAGGCAAATTGTGTTGATATAATGGTGCAAGAGTAATAATGCAAAATTACTGTGAAGTTAATCATTAAACTAATGACTGAATAAAATGGATTTTATTATTTCTTGTGAATACAGCAGGTACCTGAAAATTACTTGTAAACTGTTTTTTTTCATGCATAATACGTTCCGCCCAAAATCTCAGGCAAGTTAATGCTTCGGATGTTCCCTCGTTGACTTTCCCCTATTCATGTTAAAAAACTTTCACCTGCATATTGTGTTGATATCACAGCTGAATTGGTGCGCAAGAGTATGCTTCGAGTATGCTTTTTTTCTCTTCATTTTCTTCTTCTCCAATTTCATTGTGTTGATATTGGTGTGCAAGAGTATGCTTCGAGTACTACCGAGACATTCTAATGACAAATACATGTATTAGTAAGTCGGTATTACAAGGATTTCTACAACCTCTAGAAGTACTTTAAAAAATTCTGCAGTTGTTATTGACATTGACTTCGATTGTAAATAAAACTGTTTTGGATCGAATTAATGTATTGGGTCGTATTTTGACTAAAATGTTTCAAACCAATGAATAAGCAATTGTTTTATATCTATTTTTACTTTTTTTTACCTAATCCATAAAGATTGCTCTCGAGGGTGTGACCGGTCGACAGGGGATGCTTACTCCTTCTAAGCACCTGATCCCATCGCTGGTGTTTCCAGGGGACTTTTTTTTACGTGTTCACAAATTGTGTTGTTTTAAAAAGTTTGAAAATAAACACTCTTCGTTATCTTCGCCCTTTTTATCATTATCATTAATATGATATTAAAATTTACAATATAAATTAAAATTTCGGATTTATTTTTCTTATAAAATGAATATTCAAGCGTGCAGAAAGAAGGGTTTTCATTTTGAAAAGTTTATATGTATCAACTTAGAAGTCATTGTTCGCTGGCATAAATAATCATCTTTTCTTCAAAACAATGCAAAATCAACATGAATGATATTTTATGGCATATAAAACGTTGTGATATTAGACAAATATCGTGATTTATATGCAATATCTTGAAATTATGGTGTTTCTTTGAGGTTACTGGTTCTTTCTTGTTTTCGCTTCTAGTGTTCATATTTACAAATATGAATAACAATTATATTTGTAAGGCCATCTTTTAAATAATGTTTGCGTGCCATCTCTCGACTCACGGTAAAGTTATTGGGTCCGTAGGTATGTGGAAAAATCTTTTTTTCCAGAAATTTTTATTATGCAAGTATTTGTTGACGGGATAAGAGCATTAAAAAGAAAAAAAAAATTCATGTCCTGGAATGTTAAAAAAAGTTTTAAGTCGGGCCAATTTTAGTCAGTCGATCTGGGGAGGAAAACCAAACAATGTTTTAAAGATGGCCTATCATGATTTCGATTATAAAAAAGTTTACGAATAAATTTGGACCACATGTTTTCGAATATTAAAAAACACAAGTTTAAACCTTAAAAACCCACAAGTTTAAACCTTAAAAAAATATTTGTATAATAATGCAACGATCTCCATGGCTTGGTTTTATCAAAGTAAGCTTAATTTGTCAATTTATCCTTTTATGTGCTATCCAAAGTCTTCCTTTATCTTAACAATAATTGCTAATCTAATAGTTCTTGCCATTTGGAGGGGGTATCAAATCTTCATGGAATTATCTTCAGAAAATTGTTTTTCATGAAAAGCTTGACATTCATCAGGCCCGTGTTTCTTGAAGAGAACTTGTAGATGGGGAAATTAACAATGACGCAAGATGATTTTACTTCCGCATCCGGTTCTGGTGATTAAATTAAAAAGACAGTTTCCTATGAGAAAAACAGTGATACCCATTAAAATTCCCATGAAAATCTCCCTAAAGAGCAGTTCATTTATGCGCTGAAAAAGTGAATAATTTCTATCTCAAATTGCAGCGACTTGTAATTGCGTCTCAAGGGAGTCTGCATACTTGAGTTTAACAATTAATATTCTCTGAAATTCTAGCGAGATATGACGAATCAAAAATATACAATGTATCATATAAATCAGCGCTCCTTTCGTTGGCTGTCAAAAACTTGAAATTCTCAGCAAAAATAATTTCAGATCCTTATTTGTTAACCTGAAAAATTAATTAATCGGTAGAATATCAAACTCAAGCGAAAGATGAGCAAATTTTATACTTTATCCGAAATTGGAATCTTGTATGTATGTGAGAGAGAGAGAGAGAGAGTGGGGGGGGGAGAAAAATGTTTATCTGAAAACAGGACATTAACTGTCATATAATTTAACTTAAAGTCTTCGTTAACTAAAACAGGGACTTTAAGGAGAGAGAAACACAATTTCATTTTTTCTAAATAAAGTAAATAAAGGAAATGCTCGATCTGAAGCACAGGTAAATGGTCTTTTATTCGGTTCTTCAATGGAAGAACTCGCATTTTATCTGATGAAAGACGTCCAATTTCAATTGAAATTAATTATATAATTACTTACCGGTTTTTCCAAATGGCCAATCTTGGATGAAGCTGGCAGTGATGAGAAGCGGGAAGTCAATCAAGGACATCATCAAGTTAGCAATCGACAGATTGATTATAAACACATTAGAAGAGGTACGAAGGCTGCGAAAACTGCAATAAAACATCAATTATTTATAGGTATAACTTGAAATTCCACTTTAATTAAGATACATGTATATTGTAGGTGTCTATTTCATTGTGAGTGGTAATTTATTTTTTTTTTCCAGCGAAATCCATTTCGTAAAAACATGGAACAATTGATTGAAACAGTCAAAACATAATTTAGATTGTTCCTTCAAGTGCTGACGTGAATAAATGTGTAAAACACGTGACAACGATCGAGATTAATGTTATCATAAAAGTACATACAACTCACTTAAAATACAGAGGAATTTTTAGAGCAAATATAATTAAAAATTGCATTAAACATTTAAGGGGCATCGATACTCTGATAAGAGAGATAATTCTTAAGGACATTAAAGTGTATTATTCCTTTATAGATTTGCCAAGTTGAAATGTCTTTTTTGTCAAATTTTGCCCCGCAAGCTATGCTATACTTGTTTGTATTTTACTTATAAAATGCGTTTCTTTTGAAAATGAACTATCAGTCAATGATAATAATTGTTATACGATGCATTAATTTTATAGTTTTATAAAGCCTAATATTATTTTTTAAAGATCAGCTGATTTGCAGCTAAGAATCTTAAATTTAGACCAAATATCTTGGCGATACGGTAAGCAATTAATCAAATGAGTCACATTCCCTATGTTCATGTCAGTGGTTGTAATGGAATATTGCTACTATATTATAAATACGAAAATTGACAATTGAAAAGCTTAAATGTTCTTCTTTAACGTACAATTTACTTCCTAGCTATTCCTTATCATTTATGCTCACTCCTCCACGGAATCTGATCCAACCTCTGATGTTTTGGACGTCCGTGTTTGCTCAGCTCCTATTTTGTACTGTTTAATAGACTTTAAAGCTCAAATACCGTTCGTTAATTCGACAGAAATTCATGCTGTATAAAATATTCAAATATCAAACAAATGGGACAAAACCTCTTTTATTTCAAGTTCAATGGTATATGTGTATATCGAGTCGACGTATGAAACAAAGAAATGAAGGATACGGAGATAGCGAACAGTATTCAATATCAAAGTCCATAAAACAATACAAAATAGGAGCAGAGCAAACACGAACCTCCAAAACATCAGAGGTGGGATCAGGTGCCATGGAGGAGTGAGCATCCCCTGTTGACTAGTCACACCCGCCGTATGCTCCTTGTCATGATCCGGTAATAACGGGAAAATCCGTCGTCAATTCAGTGTATAAATAATAGACTAACAATAAGTATGAAAAGCGTCAGTCAGCATTTGACTAAATGATATTTTTTTTTGCTGACAAGGTCATTGTATGGGCCATAGAACTTACGAAATTATGACTCTAAACGAGGCTGCTGATATTCTTGTTTCATGGTAATGAAATTTGTTTGTTAATAAGTTAAAGTCATCACGTTTATCATAGAGCTTTTTTAGAAATTGTTCGAGTAATATACAAGTATAGACATATGTGTCTTCGCATCTTTTCAACTGAGTATAATATATATCAAAAAACCCCATATGCTTTTTAAAAAATGATATTGATATGAAGGTATGTATTTTAAAATTAAATAAGGGAAGATTAATTAGATAAAGTTATAAGTCAAGTATTTATGATATGTATTTTGATATTGAACTTATACACCACAGGTTATAAGTACAGGCAATTACCATTATTGTCTTTCGAGTCAAATATCCAAGTATGAAACAGATGTGTCAGACTCTGTGGTATCTTTTATCTCAAGCTTACCAGGATATATCGTGTATAGGAATGGAAATTACCATTGTTAATTGACAATACGTCGTCGATATATCTAAATGTCGAGTTGAGAAACTATTTTCTAATTAATGAACTTTTGTACATATAACAGAAGGTCATAGCAAGTGGTTTCTTCACCTTGTTTTTCTACATATTTCTACAACATTGTCAACGTTTTTACGATTGTATAAGAAGTTTTTTAATATAATTTTTGATAGTGGTTTCGTTCCAGATGAATGGTTAATTGGTATTGTTAGACCGATATATAAGAATAAGGGCGACCTAACCCAGCCTGAAAATTATCGTCCTATATCTCTGCTAAGCTGCCTAGGCAAACTTTTTACCCGCATATTGGTGAATAGACTAGAAATGTATGCAAATGAGGTTAACCTTCTAAATAATAATCAAGCGGGTTTTAGGAAAAATTACTCAACATTAGACAATATTTTAACTTTGCAATTTCTATCTGATATCCTTATGAAAAGAAAAAAGAAATTTTTTGTGCATTTATTGATTTTAAACAGGCATTTGACACTGTATGGAGAAACGGTTTGTGGAATAAGCTATTCAAAAATGGTATTAACGGAAAATGTTTCAATTATATAAGGAATATGTACATGGGAATTAAGTCTTTAGTGAAACAAAATGGAATGTCCTCGGATTTTTTGAATGTAATGTCGGGGTAAGACAAGGCGAAAATCTGTCACCTTTTTTATTTTCCTTGTACATAAACGATCTTGAAGAATTTTTGGTAGAAAAAGACATAGTCGGATTACAAACTATTAGTAAAGAAATCGAAGATGAATTATTACTACATTTAAAACTTTTGATTTTATTTTATGCTGATGACACTGTTATATTGGCAGAATCTGCTGATGATTTACAAAAGGCATTGAATGAATTCCATACTTATTGTACTCAATGGAAACTTAATGTGAATGTTGATAAGTCAAAAGTCTTGGTTTTCTCCAAAGGGGCAATGTTAAAGAGGGAATTTTATTACAATACCCAAAATATTGAAAATGTAAAAGAATTTAAATATCTAGGAATTGTATTATCAAGAACAGGTTCATACTGTAAAGCGAAGAAACACCTTTGTGAGCAAGCACAGAAAGCAATGTACGGGGTGATAAGAAAAATTAGACAATTTAATTTACCGATTGAATGTCAGCTTACTTGTAGCTCACCTGAGCTGAAGGCTCAAGTGAGCTTTTCTGATCAAAATTTGTCCGTCGTCTGTCGTCGTTGTTGTTGTTGTCGTTGTCGTCGTCGTTAACTTTTACATTTTCATCTTCTCCTCAAGAACCACTGGGCCAATTTCAACCAAACTTGCTACAAAGTATCCTTGGGTAAAGGGGATTTAGATTTGTTCAAATGAAGGGCCACACCCTTTTCCAAGGGGAGATAATTATGAATTAGAGAAAAATTAATGACATTTTTAAAAAATCTTCTTCTCAAGAACCACTGGGCCAGGAAAGATGAAACTCATGTGGAATCGTCCTCAGGTAGTGTAGATTCAAGTTTGTTCAAATCATGACCCCGGGGGGTAGGGTGGGGCCAAAATGGCCGACCCAAGTTTTACATAGGAATATATAGGAAAAATCTTTAAAAATCTTCTTCTTAAGAACCACTGGGCCAGGAAAGATGAAACTCATGTGGAATCATCCTCAGTTAGTGTAGATTCAAGTTTGTTCAAATCATGACCCCCCGGGGTAGGGTGGGGCCAAAATGGCAGATCAAAGTTTTACATAGGAATATATTGGAAAAATCTTTAAAAATCTTCTTCTCAAGAACCACTGGGCCAGGAAAGATGAAACTCATGTGGAATCATCCTCAGGTAGTGCAGATTCAAGTTTGTTCAAATCATGACCCCCAGGGGTAGGGTGAGGCCAAAATGGCTGATCAAAATTTTACATAGGAATATATAGGAAAAATCTTTAAAAATCTTCTTTTAAGAACCACTGGGCCAGGAAAGATGAAACTCATGTGGAATCATCCTCAGGTAGTGTAGATTCAAGTTTGTTCAAATCATGACCCCCGGGGTTGGGTGGGGCCAAAATGGCCGATCAAAGTTTTACATAGGAATATATAGGAAAAATCTTCTCATTGAGACATGAAAGATGAAACTCCTGTGGTATCATCCTCATGAAGTGTAGATTCAAGTTTGTTCAAATCATGACCCACAGGGGTAGGGTGGGGCCTAATGGCCATCAAAGTTTTACATAGGAATATACAGGGAAACCTTTTAAAATCTTCTTTTCAAGTACTTCAAAGCCATGCTTAGTGATATATATAGGGAATCATCCTCAGATAGTGTATATTCTAGTTTGTTCAAATCATGACCCCATGGGGGTTAAAATTCAAGCCCCCCCCCAAACCTCAGTAAACTTTCAGTTCTGATCTGATATGTTCTTTTTCCTAGCCATTGTGCTTAGGTGAGTGCTGTGGCCACTGGGCCTCTTGTTTGATAAAGTAGTCACACCCATTTTACTCTACGGATGTGAGATATGGGGGTATGAAAATATGGATATTATTGAACGTGTCCATTTAAGGTTCTTAAAAACTATATTTAATTTGAAAAGTTCTACACCAAATTACATGATTTACGGAGAAACTGGAAGATTCCCTTTGTACATCAATGTTTTTACCAGAATGACTACATACTGATCAAAGATGTTTACATGTATAGAAGATAAAATTGTCAATATTGTGTACAAGTATATGTATAACCAATTAAGTAATGATGGTTTTAAATGTCAATGGATTGAATGTATTCAAAAGATTCTAAATAAGTGTGGACTTTCATTTATATAGAATGGGCAAGGTGTGGTCAATGCTAAATGGCTAAGTGCTATTGTAAATCAGAATTTAAAAGACCAGTTCATTCAGAAATGGTCAAATGACATAATTAGTTCTTCCAAAGGCCAGATTTACAGAATTTTTAAAACCAATTTCGGATTTGAAAGCTATATTAAAAATTTTCACCCAAAACAAAGAAAGTTATTGATGAAAATGCGTACCTCAAATCATCATCTACCTGTAGAAACAGGGAGGTGGTGTGGCACCCCATTAAATGAAAGAGTATGTTTACTTTGTAACAATGGAAAGATAGGTGATGAATACCACTACATTTTAGAGTGTACAGCTTTTTCAGAGATAAGAAAAAAAATTTTACACAAAAGTTAATGCTCCAGACCAAATGTTGTCAAGTTTTATGAACTCATGCCCAACTCAAATATACAATCTTTACAAAAACTATG